GTTTAGTTGTGGTGTGTGTATCGTTATTTGTTTTTGTGCTAATACGTAGAGAAGAAAGATATACTGTCTTTTAGTCAGAGTTGAGGAATATAAACAAATGCGAGTGATGTTGATTGCTTGTATTTTTGTCTCCATTGATGTTTTTGTGTTTGTTATTGCTGTCTCTATTGTGTTTGTTGTTGTGGTTGTTGTTGTGGTTGTTGTTGTTGTTGTGGTTGTTGTTGTTGTTGTGGTTGTTGTTGTGGTTGTCTTTGTGGTTGTTATGGTTATTGTGTCGTTTTGGTAATTTTAATAAATGCAATAATTACCTATTGAATCAATTAATTGGTTAAATAACTAATTAGTTGGTCATTAAAATAATTAATTGGTTAATTAATTGGTTAATTATACGTTCTGACCGTTTGGGAGGGTTACATTGTTGTATAGATCGTGACACATTAGCAAGCCTTCATCTATGCCATCGCCAATCTCATTGTAATTATCTTTGCTCATGATGTTGTTGTTGTTAATGTAATTATTGTTGTTGTTGTTAATGTAATTGCTGTTGCTAATGTAATTGTTAATGCTGTTGTAGTTGATGGTTGTGTAACTGCTGTTGTTGTTGATGTAACTGTTGTTGTTGTTGTTGTGGATGTTGTTGTTGATGTCTTTCGCAACAGAAGTATTGTTGTTGATGGTAGAATTATTAGTGTAATTGTTGTTGTCATGGTTATTTCTGTTGTTTGTGTAGATGTTATTGATGTTGTTAATGTTGTTTAAACTGTTGTTGTCGTTGCTGTGTTTTAGAATGTTGTTTTTGGTGATGTTGTTGAGCTTAAAATCATTGGCGTACAACTCGTTTTTGTGATAACTATATGACATGTTGTTTTTATTGATGTTGTTGTTGTTGTTGTTAATGTAGTTGCTGCTACTACTGCTGATGTTACTGACGTTGTTGTTGCTGATGTTGGGATTGTTGTTGCTGTAGACAATTTTTTTTGACTTTGTTGTCGTTGTTGTTGTCATTGTTGTTGATGTATGCATGTCACCGACTGAAATTAATTACACAGTGGAAAAGAGGGAATATTTATCTATGCCCATTCACAATTGTCAGCATCTGGTTTGCTACTTTTATTACTGCCGTTACTACTGCAACTACTACTACTACTAATACTTCTACTATTTTCATTACTACTACTACTAATACTTCTACTATTTTCATTACTACTACTACTACTTTTATAACTACTACTACTAATAGTAGTAGTAGTAGTACTACTACTACTGCTTCTTCTGCTACTTTTGCTACCGCTATTACTACTAGAATTACTACAACAACAACAACAACAACTACTACTACTATTACTACTACTACTACTACTACTACTACTACTACTACTACTGCATCTACTACTTCTACTACTATTACTTCTACTACTACTACTACTATTACTACTACTTTTACTACTTCTACTACTACAACAACAACAACAACTACTACTACTACTACTACTACTACTACTACTATTATTACTACTACTACTACTACATGTGTCTATTTTACTATTAAATTAGCATTTATACTAACCATAGTTTTTGGGATTAATAATAATAATAATAAAAGTAATAATAATAATAAAAGTAATAATAATAATAACAATTTTAATAATTATTATATTATTATTATTATTATCATTAACATAGAATCACTAACAGAGGACAGGATCGAATTCGTTGATTCATCAAGCTCTACATCAAACTTCCATCATTATTTTTATTACGTATTACTGTTTTTATTGATAATAATAACAATAATAATAAGTATAATTATAATTATTATATTTATTTATTACAGATAATATAATGTAATTATTAAATAAATAAAAAAATAGCGATGACATTTTTTTTGGTAGTCATGTAAGAGAACGGAGTAAAACCATCTTCTTCTATATATATACATACATATGAGATGGGTACATTACGTATGTTTGTGTACGTGTGTGTGTGTATGTATGTGTGTGCGTGTGTGTGTGATCGATATGTGTGTGTGTTTGCGTGTGTATGTGTGATACCTTAGTTTATACACGTACACAATATACATTTCATAGAGAATATGGATGGGATAGAGAGAGAGAGAGATTATATATATATATAGAGAGAGAGAAAGAGAGAGAGAGAAAGAGATATATATATATATAGAGAGAGAGAGAGAAAGAGAGAAAGTAAAAAAAGAAAAAAGAGAGAGAGTTTGAAGTTACAAAGCAAAGACAAGTGGGATAGAAAATGCTAGGAGGTGAGAGAAAGAACGAGAGAACGAATAAAAAGAAAAAGTTGATAAAGGAAAATTAGCAACATGAGGAGAGTTGAAAAAGGAAGAAAGAGAGAGAGAGAAGAAGAGAGAGAGAAGAAGAGAGAGAGGGGGAGAAAGAACGAAAAAACATTGAATGAATGAATGAAAAATGTTGTGAAAAATGCCCAAGATGAGAACGTGAGCATGTATATTAAATTTTATATTAAATAAATTGGCGATGAGTGATTTATGATGTTAATAATGTTCTTTGTGTGTGCGCATGTATGTGTGTGTGTATGTGTGCGTGTGTGTGTGTATTTGTATGTGCGTGTGCGCGTATGTGTGTGCTTCCGTGTAAGAATGTGTGTATTAATAGACTACAGTTCAATTTGTATGGAATTTAATATAATTAAAATTATCCATGGTGTAATGAAAGATTAGGAGATTGGTTTAAAACAACAACAGCACCAGCCGCAACAAAAATAATAATTTAATTATAATTATATTAATAAATAATTTAATTTTAATTATATTAACAAGCTATTGTCGTTATTTTTCAAATTATAATCAATATGATGATAATAACTTTATAGATGCCTTACTGAAGATGGAGCCTAAATTGAAAAAATTGTTTGTGTGTGTGTGTGTAGGTGTGTTTGTATGTGTCTGTGTGTTTGCGAGTGTGTGTCTGTGTATGTACTGTACGTGCATGTCTGTCTGTGTTTGTGTGCGTGCGTGCGTGTGTATGAAACAATTTGACACGACACAAAATATTTTCTACTTTTGTATGTCACCATCCTTTCAAAACAAAAATTTAAAAATTTAATATATCTACCAAAAACTCGCTTGGGACAACTGGAAGATGTGACATCTTGACAAGGATACAACACAGCAGCCCGGTTTGAGAACCAGAGTTAGGGGAATTATAACGGGTTGGTTTCCCCTATCTACCCACCATAAAACTTGTATAACGTACTTACCAGAGGTTTCAGATATTTTGATATAGAATTTAATTAGAATTCTTACATCTTCATATTTTTGTTGCATTCTTTGTTTGTTTTTATTTCTTTGGTTACAAAGACCTTAAATATTGTTCCATGAAAGAACAATAACATAGAAGATGAAACAAAAGTTGATTCAATTTGAAATAAAAAAATAATTACGTTGAAAAAACTCTTCACGCGTAACGCTCATCACATACACGAACGTGTAAGCAAGCGGATATCCGTGAATTTAACAATAGTAACAACAACAACAACAACAACAACAACAACAACAAAAAACGTTAACAACAAATATAGAAGACAAACCATGAACACCAAAAGAACCATAAAAACATAAATATACAAACAGACATACAAACATACTTTGAAATAAAAAATAGATATAGGTGCTCATAACACATAAACATATGTACCTACACACACACACACACACACACACACACACACTCACACACAACACAAACGTGTAGACACACACACACACACACATACACACACAAAAATGTTAACACTCAAAGATATGCAATAAAACTCTTGGTAAAACAAATTTAGCGCCACCTAGCTAGCCCCCAAAGACGGCAAATAATTTTGATTTAAGCGATCGTATTGTGAACGTTAAAAATATCCAGACGATCAACATTCGCCATTTGGTAATTGAAGATCTATGTGTATGTGTGTATGTATGTATGTGTGTGTATGTATATTGTGTGTGTGTGTGTGTGTGTGTGTGTGTGTGTGTGTGTGTGTGTAAATTTTGCCAGGACTGCCAGTGTCCATCTAATTACACTTCGTCCATAGTTAACATTCCTAAAAAGGTCATGACCTGACATGTTTAGGAATTGCCTATTGTTCAGTGTTTTTGTATGTGTGTGTATGAGTGTGTTGGTATGAGTGTGTTGGTATGTGTGTGTTGGTATGTGTGTGTGTGTTGGTATGTGTGTGTGTTGGTATGTGTGTGTGTGTTGGTATGTGTGTGTGTGTGTGTGTTGGTATGTGTGTGTGTGTTGGTATGTGTGTGTGTGTGTGTTGGTATGTGTGTGTGTGTTGGTATGTGTGTGTGTTGGTATGTGTTTGTATGCGTGTGTATGTGTGCGCATATAAATTGAATTGTGTTAATTATGAGTGCGTCATCCATGTATAAATTAGCATATGATTTGCATCTCATTATAATCCGGGTTTGTAATTTCTAGAAGTTGCTATATAATATCACGCGCATTCGTAATGCGAGCGTTTAATTAGTTCGGCATCAATCATCGTCGTCGTCTTCATCATCACTGACGTCACGATGAAAATAAATTTAGAAATTTTTTAAATGTCAAGGTCGGTTCCTCTTGTGTGTTGTTAATTCTTGGGCGCCATGTATGTGCTTTTTTATTTCACTTTGTTGTCATTCTGCTCGTTGTAGCCGACCCTGCTCTGTCTGTCAGAGTCTGGTTTTTGAAAAATAAAAATACACACGTACAAACACACACACACCTACTTAAAACCATAAACACACAAACACACACACGGATACATACACACATACATCTAAATGTTTGCAAGACAAACCTTCACAATTTCCTGTCTAGTACACAATCCTTGCATAGGCAAACAACTTTTCTATCCTAGTTACATCAACTAGACATCACATTAACATACATACACACACGCATACATGCTTGCATATATACAAAAATAAATACATAACCACATACATACATACAAAAAACAAACATACACACGTATACACAAACATACTTACATTACAGTAACATTACAATAATGTTAGACCAACAAGCTGATCACAATCTTTCTTAGGGGTGGAATGTATTTTTTCCTCCATGTTATATTTAGGGTCTCGAAATAACTCAGCGGTTTTATAGCCCGGACATAAATTGAACGTTGCTGGTCGGGCCATAACAAAACGAAACGAAAAATAACGAGATATAGGACATAGTGAAACCAATAAAGATTACCTAAAATTACACACGGTGTAATTACGTGTAAAAGTTACCAAAATACATATGTCAATTACATAAAATTACATGTAAAAATGAATGTGTAGAACTGCGTGTAATCTTACACACGAATATCCACATACGCACACACATATACAGATGCACACACACAAACACATCAAATACATTACACATACATACATGCAGACAAATACAAATGATTATTTCATATCTGTTTGTATTTTCATTTCATCTTGTGCCCTACTGAAAGAACTTTTAGGGATTGATAGATTCTGTATTTGCTTGATTCTATCTCAAATTCGGGACAACTTAACTAAATTTATATTATAAGTAGTGTTTGATACGTGATAAGATTGTGTGTGAATAGGGAGAACTTATATAAACATAAATCCCTAATGTTGAATAGGTAGAGTTCATTTTGAATACATATAAATTTAGACAATATTTATACATTTTGATGTCTTGCAAAGGAGACTTTTGAAAGAACAAGCGTCTTACATGCTTTAAAAACGGACTTAATAATTTAAATAATAAATAATCATTAATTTAAATAAATAATAATTTAAATAAGACTAAATAATTTAAATAGCGTTGATCCGTGACGTCTTTGCCAAACTTTTAACCGTCTTTCTATATTTTTTCGAATAACCTTGAAAATATATATATAATTTTATTTCAAATATTTTCATTGTTATTTGCAAGATACGTCATACTTTATTTCATTTTTCGCCGATTAATACATAACTTTGCGCTATTTATAAACAAAATTTCGAGTTTTTAGCAGCGAAGTCCGTCCTGAGTTTGATTATTTTATGAATTGAAATGCTAAAAACTGACACACACACACGCACACACAGAGACACTCAAACGCACGTACACACAGACGAACATCTGGCGGGGTGTGAAAGCAAACGCATGCAAAAACGCTGTCAACGGTCTTGAACGGATGAAAACTTGAGAAAAAAAATGAGTGAAAATTCTTCCATAGCACTTTGGAAGAAAAACAAAAACAGGATTATGATTTATTGATATTGAAAGAAAAACTTTGGAAGTATTTTGTAAAACAAAATTTGCGACTCGAAAAATAATGGCACCTGGTAGAAGAAAGAAACATGTGCCTCAGTTACAAGTTTATTAGCATCTACAATCAACGAGTCATTCTGCCCAACCACGCATGTTTTCATGATCGATTTTCTTTCTTTTTTGGGTTAGGAGCATTAGGATTTTCACCTTTATAGAATAATTTCAGTAAGCTGACGGCTTCTTCCCCAAGGAATCCTTCATGGATCGTTAAACTATCTCCCAGAGATGGCAGATCGTCGGTAGCGGTGCTGAGCACCGAACCACAACCTCCGAATCGTTCGTTCCGACATCCGAAGTAAATCTTCGTACACTTTATGATTCTCAGAGCGGCCGCACACATGATGCAAGGCTCAACAGTTACGTAGCAGGAGCTGTCTTTAAAAACTTCTTCAAATGGTTTGTTCATTTTTCGGCACCAATCACGCACCTCGTCGATCGCTACTACTTCGGCGTGTTTTGTGGCGTTTTTTGTTGCGTTGGTTCTGTTTTTACCTCGGCCGACGACCTGACCCGAGTGAACAAACACGCAACCCACTGGAACCTCTCCATCTTTGTAGGCTTCGTTAGCAAGTTCCAGAGCATTCCTCATCCATTTCTCGTGAACTTCTTGATCTGGCAGTAAATTTAAAATAATATTTATAAATTTCATCAACAGAGTGTGAGTCTGAGGAAAAATCAAAAATATGCGTTGGTGATGAAACGCAGGTCGCTTTCACAACTAACCCAACATTTCACGCACAAAATGTTAGTTTCTTCCTTCCTAATAGCATTCAGAAAGATTGAATTTCTAATTTGAGCTAATAATTCATTTAATAAAATGGAAATTGGATTAAAATTTAAATTGGATCAAAAATTTGGTCGCTAGGCATTGTTGTTGCAATGGTAGAAAATCGACGTTGAAATTGAATTGATTCTACGGTATTGTAATATAAGTTAGTAAAGAAGGAAAGGCTTAAGTTTAAAAAGGCTAGATCCCTCAAATAAAAATCGAGAGCGTAAAAACTGACCCAACGAAGTCATTTGGAAAAAAACCCGCGGTTTTGTCAACAATAATTCACTTTTTATCAGTGCATGGGTGCATTTTTATCAAACAAATAATAACTTGTTTAGGTTTGTTATTAAAAAAAGACTTAAAATACTTCGAATTAAACTTTTGTAAAGTTTTTTGATGATTTAATTGATAATTTTCATAATTTTCACAATCTAATTAGTATGCTGTTTGTTTATGCATTTATGCAAATTTTGTAACTTTCCATTCAATTTTTTATTTAAATTCCCATTCATTTTCTGTTTGCTAGGCATTCTTGAATTAAATATTAAAGTTCGTTCAAAAAGCTATTCAAATTCACTTTTTTAAATTGAAGTTTGCGTTAATTTTGCATGCTTACATTTCGTATTTCTCACCATTGAGATGTCATTTACTAATTTGCATTTTATATATTTCACTTTTTTCATTTTTTTTTAGTTTTGCAAAAAAATTGCTAAAAATAATTTTTGCAATACGAGTTTCAACTTCATTTAAACTTCTTTAAAGATTGAAACTTTGAAGTTTTTATTTAAAATGAGTTTTTTCAACTAACTTTATTATTTAATTTATATTATTTTAAATTTTAATTAATTTAATTATTTTTATTTTTTACTAAAGATATGACAGCAACAACAACAACTTACACCACCTTACTCTCATTCAGTTCTTCCACTTTGAATTTCAAAAAGCACAGTTAGTGAAAAGAAATTTATCTGCCATAAATTTTAGTTAGACAGAATCATGTTTATTTATAAATCATTATTTTTTAATAAATAACATTTAATTATTTAAAATAATAACATTCTAATTTTATTTAATTAATTGAATTTGTCTGTTTGTATCATCAAATTTTATGAGAGGTATTCTCAAATTTATGAAAAAAGATGTATTTTTTATCAGTTTATCAGACAGACTCTATACCTATAATGTACATATTCTTTATTAATATTTTTAATTATAATATAACATTTCGAGATTTTTATATTTATTAAAATATAAATGAAATAAATATTCATCTAGGTGACATACAGAGAGTTGTTGACACTATATTCAAGATATTTAGTAAGTATGGGTTCGTGCCACACAGCTCAGCTAGTCAGGAACTGTCAGCTGTCAGTGGCTTTCTACACCTTTACCTATCACCCCAAGGAAGGTTATTATTATTCTTATTATTATACTTATTATAAATTATTATTATTATTATCATTATATTTTTATGTTTAAAGCCATGTCTTGCTACGAGGATATGGAAATGGTTTGATAACATTGGATATCCATGAGATCTCTACTTCCACAAGCAACGATATTGAAAATAGTTGTGGGGCTGGGAGATTATTTACTAACAAGGTATAATATTCCTTGGTGGCTCTTACTACTACTACTGCTGCTACTACTGCTGCTACTACTACTATTGCTACTACTACTACTGCTGCTACTACTACTACTGCTACTACTAATGCTTTATCACAGAGTTTATTCACATTGAAATAATCTTTCTTCTTTCTTTCACTTATTTCTTTTTATCTCTCTTTTTCTCTCTCTTTCTTTTTCTCTTTCTTTCTTTCTCTTTATATATATATATATATATTTTCATCGCGAACCTTTTAACTCACAGGAGATAGGGGACCTGGAGGTTGAGATAAAAAAATGCCTGTCATTCCTTGAGTCCAGAAGGTATTTTATAATAATAATAATAATTATTATTATTATTGTTGTGTTGTTGTTGTCATTATTAATCGTTTATACAACAAACCAACCATTCCGTCAACCAATCTAAGAGTCTATCAATTATATTCAACCGTTCATTCATTCAATCAATCAATCATCCAAGCGACCATGCGGTCAACCAACCAACAAATCATCCACCAAAACCATTCAACTAACCATGCCACAGTCTTCCAGCCATTAGACGAGGTAGATCAGTCAACCCGTACTACCCGACTGTTGATGGCCGGCTGGTTGAGTTAGACGTAAGAGAAGTTGTCTACGAAGTTAAGTCGAAGTATCAGGACATCATGATCGTTAGGTCGGAGTCGCTGGGAAACATACTGATTCTGGATGGGGATTTGAGTTAGTAACTAACTAGAGATTAAGGACACTTTTTTGATTTTTTGCTGACTGGCTGGCTGGCTGACTGGTTGATTGGTTGATTAATTGATTGAATAATTTTTTGGTTTGATATGATTGGTTGGTTTGATTTGATTGATTGATTGAATAATTGTTTGATTTGATTTGATTGGTTGGTTTGATTTGATTGATTGATTGATTAGAAACTTGGTACGTTTTTTTACTATTTCACGGTTGTTGGCTGTTTGGCTGACTAATTGACTGACTGACTGATTATTTAATTGATTGATTGATTGATTGATTGATTGATTATATGATTGAATAATGGGCTAAATAACCAACAAGATATGGGTGAAAGTGATGCAATCTACTCTCACACGCTCATGCAGAAAGGAAAAACCAACTACCAGGTTTATTATTATTATTATTTTTAGTAGTGGTAGTAATAGTAGTAGTAGTAGTAGTAGTAGTAGTAGTAGTAGTATTGTTGTTGTTTTTATACTACCCCACTTATTTTCAGGACAAAAGTTGTTTGGTTCTGGGTGGCGGTGATGGGGGCTTGTTGTATGAGTTACTAAATGAAGGGGCTAAAAAGGTGCTAAAGTTGTTGTTGTCGAAGTTGTTGGTGTTGTCGTTGTTGTTGTGGCTGTTGTTGTGCTGTTGTTGTTGTGTTGTTGTTGTTAATGTTGTTGTTAATGTTGTTGGTATTGGTTGTTGTTGTGTTGTTGTTGGTATTGGTTGTTGTTGTGTTTTTGTTGATGTTGTGTTGTTGTTGTTGATGTTAATGTCAACATAAATGACATGACAAACAACAAACAACAACAACAAAAGGTAATCTTAGTGGACATAGATGAGGAAGTTATATCAGCATGCCAGCAGTATCTGAGGAATGTTTGTCACGATGTCCTCGATAGCCGAACTGGTCCTTATCATCAAGTAATTCGTAAATAATAAATAATAATAATATATTATTATTTATAATTATTATTCATAATTCATATTATTTATAATTATTATTCATAATTATTATTTATAATTATTATTCATAATTATTATTTATAATTATTATTCATAATTCATATTCATAATTATTATTCATAATTCATATTCATATTATTTATAATTATTATTCATAATTATTATTCATAATTATAATTCATAATTATTATTCATAATTATTATTCATAATTATTATTCATAATTATTATTTATAATTACGTCCTACCTCGGGAAACCGGGTCTCTGGACGCAAAACGAAGATTGATTGATTGATTGATTATTTATAATTATTATTCATAGTTATTATTCATAATTATTATTCATAATTACTTTTCTATAATTTTACAGATAATAGTGGATGATGCATATAAATATCTGAAAGATTGTCTGACTGATGGGGTTAAGTTTGAGTATGTCCTGTACGACTTGACGGCTGTGCCCGTTACGACGGAACCCAAAAGTTAGTTTTAGGGGCGGTGGGGTTGTAATTATTGTGGTGGTGGGGGTTATTTGGGTTGTTGTTGTGGATGTTTTTGTTGAAGTAGTTGCGGTGATAAGTTTTTCTTAATATGGTTTTTTTTTTCTTCTATGATTCAACAGCAGAATCACTAACATCAGGTTCACAAAGTTAGTGTTGTTGTTGTTGTTGCTGTTGTTGTTGTTGTTGTTGCTGTTATTGTTGTAGTTGCTGTTGTTGTTATTGTTGTCGTTGCTGCTGTTGTTGTTGTTATCATCATAATCATTATCACCACCGTCGTCAACATCATTTATGTTTACGTTATCATCGTCGTCATCACCATTTTCATAATGCAAGAGAAAGAATGGGAATTCCTGTATGAGACTATCAAGTTGTCACTGGATGTCTTGTCTCACGGCGGGAAATTCTTCTGTCACGTTAGTTTCGCTTTCTATTGTTCAATCCATTTCCTTTTCCTGTCGCATTTTTTCTAATTTTTAGTTTCGTTTCCTAATTTCTCAGCTACTTATTGTGTTGGCAATCATCCAAACCAGCAAGCATTGTAGATGTTGAACCATTGTAATTGCTATTTTTATTATAACAATAATTATTGTTATAATTATATAATAATATAATATAATTATATAATAATATGGTCATAATTATATAATAATATGGTCATAATTATATAATTATAACATAATTATAGGCGACGGCATTACTAGCAAAGGATAGTTTGCTGCAATTTGAAGGCATGCTGTCCCAGCTGAATCCAAACATAAGATGGATGCAGCATTCTGCTTTCATTCCTTCGTTTCATGAAAAGTTAATTGTCGTTGTGGCTGCTGTTGTGGCTGTAGTAGTAGCGGTAGTTGCAGTCGTAGTGATAGTAGTAGTAGTAGTGGTAGTAGTAGCAGCAGCGGTAGTAGTAGGTGTTGTTTGTTTTCGTTGTTCTAGTTTACTTTGCATTTGTTGCATATTTTTTGCGAGAACTTCTCTATCGAAACCGTATAGCTGTTGCTTTTAAATGTAATAATTATAGTTTTATTACTTTTATAATTATATGTATATTATTATAATTATGTCTATTATTATAATTGTAATTATTATTTCACTCAGATCAGCTTTCTACGAAATATGGATTGAAGATGCTGAGGGTGAATGATACGTGTTTACAGCAACTGCTCTTACACATATGTATACACATTCACACACGTACACACGCACACACATACATGTGTACACACACACACACACACACATATACACACTCATATATGCATACATAATACACACGCCCAGACATTACTATTTGTTTTGTCTGTATTGATGCTGTCACATTGATAATTGATATTTCAATTTTGTTGGCCGACTTGTATCTCTTCTTAGTTTTTTATTTTTTTTTTATTGATTTTTCTTTTTCCTTCTTTTGTTTGTTTTGTTTTTTTTTTATTCTGCATTGTATTTATTTTCTATCTTTAATATTTACTTCTTAAAAAGTCATAACTGCCGGTTTAAATGTTGTTTGTTTACACGCCACCACCACACGCACACACACACCCACACACACACAACATGTGTATCTGTATGTATTTGTGCGAGTTTTTGCGTGTGTGTGTTATTGTGTGTGTTATTGTGTGCATGTGTGTTTTTGTGTGTATGTGTGAATACACGTGTGTTTTTCCCCTTATTTTTCAGTCCTAACAGAAGTTACTACAAACATAGAGTTAATACTTTGTATTGATGTTTGGCATTTTATATCCTACCTGTATGCGACGAGTCACCTTTGTATTTTTAATATCATATTTTCTAATTATCTTAAAGGTTTTTATTATATTACGTATACTACTTCTCTCATTGTGTATATTATTGTTTTTTTATTCTATACAATATTCTATACAATTTTCTACTAATTTGTTGGTCTGTTTTTGTATTTATTTCGCCATTTTGGGATTGGTGTACATTGCTTATATATTTGTGTTAGTACTAAGAATGATAACGATGATGATGAAAATTATGATGATGAAGATTATGATGATGGTGATGAAGATTATGATGATGATGATGATGAAGATTATGATGATGGTTATGAAGATTATGATGATGATGATGATGAAGAATATGATCATGATGATCATGATGAAGATTATGATGATGGTGGTGCTGATGACAGTTGTGATGCTGATGGTAGTAGTAGTAGTGATGAAACTAATTCATTCATTAGTCAAATAATTTTCATGGGTTTTTTCACTTTATTCGTAATTCACTTAATTCGCACGTTGAAATTGATACTATATCTGTAATCAGGTGATACAGAGATTTAATTCGTACGTAGAAATTGATACTATATCTGTAATCAGGTGCTAGAGATTTGATTCAGTAATAATTCTTAATTAGTTATGGTATTATTGTTATTGTTGTTATTAATTATTATTAATGTTTTATTATTATTTTTATATATGTCTTGTTCACTTGTATGAATTTAGATTTGCACTATCGAACTCTTTCTTTATAGAAATCTCAAATTCATTCCCTTGTCTCACTTTGTACTTTTAATGTTTGAACCTAAAAATAAAATGGCCGATATAGTAGAATTCGTCATTTATATCAATCAATCAATCAATTAGCTTATAAAGCGCTATTTCCGCGATGTTCAACAGCGCTCCTCAATGAATTTTGAAAACAGATGGGTCTTGAGTACCGCTCTGAATTTGGCAAGTGATGGAGAAGTAGTCAGAGAAGTAGGTAGAGAGTTCCATAGAAAAGGACCAGAAAAAGCAAAAGCAGATTTGGCAGAGTGTTTAACACGAGTTAAAAAAAAGCGAGAAGAAGAAGACAATCGTAAACCGGGGCGTTTAGGTTCAATTAATATATCTGATAAATACTTAGGAAATAATTTAGATTGAGACTTATACATGAACGTGCAAATTTTAAAAATTATTCTATATTTTATAGGTAGCCAGTGCAAGAGAACAAGATATGGAGATATATGAGAAAAGAAAGGGGCACGAGCAACTAGACGAGCAGCAGAGTTAAAAGCTTTACTTAAAGGATAGAGTATAGAGTCAGGAAGACCATAGTAGAGCGAGTTACAATAACCAATCCTAGATAAGACTAACGAAGTAACAAGAAGGAGAAGAGTAGGATCATCAAGAAAAGGCAAAAGTATTTTTATTCTACGTAGATGAAAGTAAGAACTTCTAGCAACACTATTAATCTGAGAAGAGAGAGACATAGTAGAATCAAAGATAAAACCTAGACTACGAAACTTATGAGAGACATCAAGAGTTTTAGAATCAGGTAAGATAATAGGAGGAATAGTAATAGAGTGTTTAGATTTATTAAAACAAATTAATTCAAACTTAGAAGGATTAAGTTTAAGACACATAGAGTCAGACAAAGCAATAATTGAAGAAAGACATAGAGATAAATTATGAAGAACACTATTGAGATTAGATGGAGGAAATGAAGTATAAATGTGTTTTGTATCTATGACTATATAGTCATAAGACACCATATAGTCACTATATGACTATATAGTGTCTATGTATATATAGTGTTTTGTATCTATGACTTTTTTCGTTTGTAACATTTAAATTTGTTTTTCTTTGCTATGTGAAAAGTGAATGTAGACGATAATGCTTTTGAAATATTTCAAATTGCTGTAATAAATTGCCTCTCTTATTGAAAATAGGAAATATTTAGTGATAAAAACACATTTTAGCTAAAACCGACGGAATCTACACATAAAAATTATCCATTTGCTCTTTTTCCACCAAAAACAAGTTAGGAAAAATGAGTTCGGCGAAGGAAGGGCTAGGGAATTGCCAGCTTCCAATCTCTCGAATACGGACGATAATGAAGAGCTCGCCAGAAGTTAATAGCATAGGAAACGATTCCCTATTTCTTATTGCGAAAGCTACTGTTAGGAGACCTACTTTTTAAGATTTTTTTAAACTTTTTAGTTTTTTTAGAGACTTTTAGTTAGACTTTTAAATTTTAACTTACTCTAGAAAACCTTTGGCAGTAAAACCTAATTTTTTCTATTTTATTACATTACATGATTAATTAATAAATGCATGTTAAAAAAGTGAAATAAATAAAGATTTAGGTTGGGATGAAAGATTCAAAGTAAAATAACAGTAAAAATAATAAGTTTTAAGCTAGTACATCACTCATTTTTTATTAATTAAGATATATATTGTGTTAATTTTCTTGTTTCTCTGACTGACATTTATTACTAATTATCTTAACACAGGAGTTATTCGTTCAGAATTTGGCACAACTGGCCTATGAGAAGAGTTGTAACAAAGAGCTAGTAGATTACAACGATCTGGCCGATATTATTAACAAAAAAGAACAACTACAATTTTTACAAGGTTGTCATTTATTATAAAATATTACTTATAATTTTTCACTATTAATTATATTAAACATTATTCATTATTAATATTATTTGGGTTTTGTTGTTGGTTTTTCTAATTTATTCTTAAAATTTTATAGTTAAACGTGTTGTAGTTGCCAAGGTTTGAATGTGGCGAGAGATCTCAGCTATTCACATGATTTTTGTTTGTGTGCGTGTATTTGTGTACGTGCTCGCGCGTGTGTGCGTGTTGTTGGTACGTCTTAAGAATTAATTGAGATAGAATTAACATTAATAATTTTTTTTCATTTCCCAGACATCATTCCAAAGAAGATGAAATACAAAGACTACCTGGAAATGGTAAAGAAGAAAGAAATTATAGTCATCAAATAATAATGATAGTAGTAATTATTATTATTTATTATTACTATATTTCTTGTTTTTATAATAATAATATAATTATTAATAGTTATTAATGTTGTTATTATTATTTTTATGATTATTGTGTAACTTTACACGGAGGTCTGTGTTGTACTAGTGAATTTTGTATGCCGAATAGTGAAAATAATTAATGATAAGAATTGTGATGGCTGTGATGATAATAAGTTATAAATTAAGTAATTATAATAAATGTTTTACAATAAAAATTTTATACATTTTTGTTAGAAATCAAAACATTTATATATTTAATACGTAAAACACACACATACGTGCACACACCATTTTGGAAGGAAAAAAATTATGAGTGCTTGCATTTTGTCAATATTTGAATTTCGAGCTTAAATGAAGCGCTACACTATAAAGAATAATTTTTCTAGCGCCAACCAGAGAAAGTTTGTTTGCCGTTGTTTGTAGCCATAACAACTGTTTGTTGTTAATGTAAACAGACTTAGCTACGCACGTGTTTGTGTGTGTGTGTGTTTGTATGCCTGTTGCTTTGTATTAAAGATTGTTGTTTGTGTTGGCAACTACCCATCAAAGCTTCAAAATTTTTTTTTATGTGATATATGTACATGTTTGTATCTAAATTATATTTGTATTTGTACATAATTGTTTGCGTATACAATACATGTACTTGTATGTACGTATGAATGCATATTGGCAAGTGTATGCGTGTGTGTGTGTTTGTCTGTGTCTGTGTGAGTGTGTATGGGTGTTTGTATGTAACTTCATATATATTCTGTAATTACAGAATATATATGAATATATATATATATATATAAATATATAAATATATATATATATATAAGCATACGATTCATTCTAGTGTATATGTCCTCTCTTGTTTTTGAAAAAATTTGAAAGAACATAAAATATACTATACCAACAAGAGCTGTACTTCTAACAACGACAAAATGCACGTTAAAAATCTAAACCTAAAGACATTAACCAGTAGCAGCAACAACAACACTAACAACAACGATAATGATGACAACCGCAAAACTTCGAGAAAAAGTTTGAGTATGAAACTTGATCCCGACAAGAAGCAAAAAAGTTCGGCTTTTGATCTGCTTCAATCTGAGGCCACTACCTTCCAATCTATTGGCGAGTTTAAGAAGGCCATTAAAAGTTTTACTAAGGTCAGTAATCCATTTAAAATTTTTTAATTCTGTTGTATATAATTTTTCAACTAATAAGTTCTAGTATAAATAGGTACTACTGCTGCTGCTGCTGCTGCTGCAACAACTACTATTGTTGCTAATCTACAGTTGCTACCACTGCTTCTACTACTACTACTTGTACATACATTGATACATCGTAAACTACATACACAAGCAACAACAGCAACAAATACCATTATACAAAAAGGCTCTAGACGTGAAACCTGGCGACAAAAATTGTCTGGTATCACGTGGTCGGTGCTATTTAAAGATCGGTGATCCGGAAAGAGCTCTCAATGACTCCAACGATATTCAAACCAACGATCCTCAATATGTCAAGGTTTAAAATCAACATTTATTTAGCTTCATAAACAATAAACCTCTGAATATTGAAATAATTTTTTTTAAATGGTTTTGAGAATTGTATCTATCTATTGCTATGCGAGAGATAGAGAGAGAAACAGAGAACAAAGAATATGTGTGTGTGAGAGAGAAAGAGCGAAAGCGAGCTACGAATAAAAATATCGAAACCTTCTGGGAAAAAAGCAACTTAGATTCACGCCTTGATGATTTTATACATGCACGCAGATAGTGGAAAAAAGAGAGAAACACACACGTACACACACATACGTACACACACACACACACACACGAACCGCTCACACACACACGCACACACACACACACGAACCACTCGCGCACACACACAGAGCCTACTAATAAAAGCGGACGCTCTCCACGAAATGATGCAATTTGAATACGCCCTGATGTTCTACCACAGAGGTTTGAGACTGAGGCCCGAGATTCACGAGTTCAAACAGGGGGTTCAGAGGGCCCAGGAGGCTATTGAGAATTCTATTGGGGGTATTTTTAGGGGTATTTTAGAGAGTATTTTTGGGGTTTTGTATGTGGTACTCTGTATGTGGTATTATGTGTGATGTAATATTGTGTGTGGTGTTGTACGTTGTACCGTATCGAATTTTATTATAATATAACGGGCTGCCTGCCCTGGCATTGTATAGTTTTTAGCCATTAGTTATTTATATTACTTTTAGTATGGTGTTATAATAATAAGAATAATAATATATAATAATAATAATAAATAAAAAATAAATAATAATAAATAATAATAACAATAAACAATAAAAATAAAAACGTCCGTGCGTTAATTCAGAAAGATCTGGAATCGTACTGGACACGAGCGGCGATCTGACCTACTTTTCGTATGACCTTGACATGCAGGTTAATAATAATAATAATAATAATAATAAAAATAATAATAATAATGTGAATGTATGTGTGAATGTGTATGTATGTATGTTGTTGTAATTATTGTTACCGCTATTATTGTTAGTATTATTATTATTATTACTATTTGAATTTGGCGCCAGAAACGTTTGAAATTACGTTTGGCGCCTGTTCCCGCCCCAAAACCGAAGAAAGTCGAAAAGCAGGACACCCCAGATAAAATAGCGGATCAACAACAACAACAGCAGCAAACAACAAATAATAATAACAACAGCAACACAAATAATAATAATAATGATAACAGCGTAAAGCCCGAACCAAATAAAGCTAAGGATACCGATGTGAATGATGATAATGAGGTGTTTTATTAGAGTGGATGAATGAATGAATGAATGAATGAATGAATAAATGAATGAATGAATGAATGAATGAGTGAATGAATGAATGAATGAATGAATGAATGAATGAATGAATGAATGAATGAATGAATGAATGAATGAATGAATGAATGAATGAATGAATGAATGAATGAATGAATGAATGAATGAATGAATGAATGAATGAACAGATGGATATATATAATGAATGAATGAATAAATGAATGAATGAATGAATGTACGAATGAAAGAAAAACGAAAGAATAAATAAATAAGACACTCGTACATACACAATTTCAATCTCTTTTTATTTGTAATTGATAATCTACAAACTTCAGTAAAAATAATAATTAAGTACTTCTGTGTAATACGTACATACGTGTGTGTGTGTTTCACTCTATAATAATAATAATTAATAATAATAGTAATAATAATAATATCATGATATATTATTATATATAATAACATAATATATATTATGTGTGTTTATATGCAAGTGTGTGTATTAATTTAATGTGGCCTCTAACTCATTATTATTTAATTTTATGTACATATGTGTGCATTTTTGTGTTTATAAATACACACATACATATAAAAACCAACAAACAAACACATACATACATACAAATATACAAACAAACAGACATACAAACAAGCACACATACAAACAAACACACACACATACATGTATTAAAATGTGCTTTGGTTTTTTTTTGTTTTGTACATATGAAAGTTTATTATGCATGTATATAAACATTTGAATAGAATTTTAATTGTTAATATTTCAAAATTATTATAATCGTTATTTATACTTTTATATTATTGCTAGTCAAAGTGTTATAGCCATTAACGTACATTCAAAATTAGCGAAGAGACATTGACCCAAGTTTCTAGAACAAACAAAACATCAATAAGTTATCAAAAAGCAACAAAACAATGCCATCAATAACAACAACAATACCAACAACGTCATCAACAACAACAACACACTACCACCACCACCAACAACAAACAATATCACTATCTAACAGAAGAAGGAGCCAACAACTCCAAAAACAACAGCACCACCACCAACAACAACAACGACGACGACGAACAACAGCAAGGATAGGGATAACAAGGATAACGACATTTTTAATCCCATCCCAAACGAGCGGAAGTTTAAATCCATGTGCAATCCCAAAACCTGCAAGCAACTACTCGGCGAGTTGTACGCTGACAGGGAATTCCTTGAGAATTTATTAAACAAAACAGGTATTACTGTTTGTTATGTTGTGAAATTGTTTTTATTATAAAATATATTAATTGAACCTAAACGCCCCGGTTTACGATCGTCTTCTTGTTCTCACTTCTTCTTAACTCGTGTTAAACACTCTTGCTAAATATGCATTTGTTTTTTCTGGCCATTTTCTCTGGTACTCTCTATTTACTTCTCTGACTACTTCTCTATCACTTACGAAATTCAGAGCGGATCTCAAGACCCATTTGTTTGCAAAATTCATTGAGGAGCGCTGTTGAACATCGCGGAAATAGCACTTTATAAACTAAACTAATTGATTGATTGATTAATTGATTGATCGATTGATATTTATTATTATCATAATTATTATCTAATTACTAAGAATCCGAATCGATGAAGTCCGAAGCGAACGTGATGATAAGGTCCTTGACCTTGCAGGGCTTGGACTTTCTGGACACTAGGACGGACTTTTGGCTGCAGCAGAAACCTCTGTCAACAAAGAAAATTAATTACAACAACAACAACAATAATAAAAATAATATGAATAATAATAAATATAATAATAATAATGGTTATGTTGATTGGAGGAATGAGTTGGTTTCTGTCGAAGATTGTTAGTGGTAAAGTTTGTTAATTTGTTTTTTAATTAATTAAATAATTGACTAATTAATTAATTCATATATGAATACATTTATTTATCTGTTATAACTCACACAGACACACACACATCACACAGACACAAACACACACACACAGTACAAATTAAAGGTGAATACAAAGAAAGCATAAAACGTATTGCGCAACTTTTTGCAATCCTGTCGAAGCCTACCATGCGAGAAACTCCGGATCGTATGGAATTATTCGCTACCCTACACGGATACCTTGGGACTGCCTACTCCAATACGAACCAGTTCGATAGGGCTTTGAAAGAATTTAATAAGGAACTGAAAATAGCTAAGAAAAAGTTTGTGTTTGTGTGTGATTGTTTTGTGTGTTTATTTAGAATAACCAGGCCAAGTCTGAAACCTATATATACATATATATATATGTTGGTAATAGACCATAATTTTTACAATATTCTATAAATTCTAACGAATGTTTGGCGTTAATATGTTTGTAGTTCGTTTTTTCGATTTAGAATATATGGAGTTAAAATTTTGTTCAAGAATTTTGCAACAGGGTAGGTGACAGCTGTAATTTGGCTAATAATTAGTCGGATGGGATGATTATTTTTATGCGTTTTTATATTTCCATATAAGTAGCCAGGAGAGTATTCGCCTATAAGTGATGGAAGTTTGTCATCGGTGATGTGCTTTCTTATCTTCTTAATTATTGTGTTTAGTTTAGTTTTTAGTTAAAGTCTATGTATGTATGTCAACAAATAAATAGTGGTCTAATTAACTGACCCCATTAATTGACCTTTTGACCTAATTTAGTGACCTAACTAACTGCAAGATGGATGGGCTGGATAACATCGGGAGGATATACGTCAAGTGGAAGAAATACGATGACGCCATTAAATGGTTATGATGATGACGACGATGATGGTGATGATGATGTTTGTGGTTGTGATGATGACGATGATGGTGATTATGATGATGATGATTTCAATGGTGATGAGTTACGTCATCAAAGACATGATCAATAATAATAATAATAGTAATAATAATAATAATAATACAACCATACAAAAATAACAACCAGCTTCAAAAAGCTTTCGAAAATCTCCGACTCGACTGAAAAAATCTGGCTCTATCACGAAATTGGAAGGTGCTATCTCGAAAAAGAGGCTAAAAACGAAATGGCGGGAAAATATGGCAAAAAGTCGCTGAGATTAGCTCGATACGAACTCGATGATGTCTGGACGCTGAACGCGATGGTTCTTATTGGAGAGTCATTTGGTTAATTTGAAATTTTCTCCATTCAATTTTGATTTCAGTTTATTTAATAGTAAGAGAGAGAGAAGAGAGAGAGGAAGGAAGAAGATAAGAATATTATTAATAACAACAATAAAATAATTAAATATTATGATAATTATTATGACTTTCTACCAGAAAACCGCCAAAGATACAAAAACGCCCTTAAATCGTACCAGGGCGCGCTGACGACGGCCGAAAATTTGAATGACGTCATAGCGGAAGAGGCTCTCGCTAAAAAGATCAAAGATATTAAAGATAAAATAACTATCGACGGCGATAATGATGATGAAGAAGAAGAACCGGAAGAAGAGAAAGATGACGATGATGACGACGACGATGACGATAGTGATGATGGCGTTGGCAGCTGTGAATCCATCACATCCGGTTTGTTATCTTTAGTATATTTGGTGTTTTTTTTAATAATTATTGACGATGATTTTCAATTTCATTAATCGTCATTGCGTCGATCGTTGATACTACCAGAGAATGAGACTTCAAAGAAATATTATGCGGACGATAATTGCAATGGCGATCGTTATGACGTCATCAACAACAGAAGCCCAATCAAAAAACCGCAACCAAAAACCCTAGATAATAATAATGATGATTCGCCAAAAAAACAACCGGAAAAACTCAAGAGTGATGATGATGGCGTTGACAATGATGATGATGACGTAGACATTGATGATGATGATGATGATGATGCTAAAGACGGCGGAGATGATGATGGTGATCGTAAAAAGAAGAAAAAAAATGATGGTAATGATAAACGTAGCGGCGATGATGATGATGATATTACTCTACGA